ATTGCTTGTGACCGCATAAATCCAAAAAGCGAGAGCACATTAGTTGCTATGTGTGTGGCGGCTTTTGAGTGACCAAGCGCAGAGGTGACTGCAGAGGCAGCCAGACCCAGACCAGAAATTATAGCCGTCGTCCAACCAACCCCGGGCTGATAAACTGTTTTGCCATTGGAAAGCTCTGCTTCGAGGCAAGTAATACTCCTTCCTGTGTCGGAGGAGTTGATGAAAACGCGCACGGAGGCATCTAGATCGGGGACAGTGTAGGCAATACCTGCAGCATCATAGTTAGGGAATCAAGAAACCCTATGCAGACATTTGTACATCATGGATATCCACCCACCAGGGATCTGTGAAATTACTGAGTCAGGTACTTTGATGTTGGTATTCATCACCGGGAGCTCCCCGGCCCTCACCGGACAAAGCCCTTCTAGATCCATATCACAAGGATTCAACACCTTGGTCATCGCGGTGTAGCCATAAACGGTAATAATCAACTCGGCGATGACTTTGCCAGATATTGATGACCTTCCATTAAAGCTCAATGCGATAGTACGATTCTTCGGCGTGAACCTCACATTGAAGTACGTCGCTGTAAATTCCAAACTGTTGGAGCACAAACTCAGTGCTCTAGACTCGATATATTCGTCAGCTGTTACCAACTGCGAAGCAAGCAGCACAATTAGGTAGAAGAACAGTGGGATCGGTCGCATTTCGTCAGTTGATATTCATGTATCTCAGGAAGATTGAGATGAGACGCGCGCATGCCGCGCAAAGCGGCGCCCCCAGTATCACAATAGCAATCAATAAGAGTGGCCTAAATACTTCGGCTGTAGCTTAGGTATGTGCGATGTGTGTATTTAAAGTAAAGGAAGAAAATCGAAGGTTTGGTGATTCTGCAATGGCTAGAATTACCGCGGGAACACAGCATAGGCATTCACTAGCTTCCACAATAAGCGCAAACAAGCTATATCAGGACTAAAAGGCACGGGACTTCAGAGATCTCACAGGGAAAAGCTTCAAAAAGAATCCTAATCGTGTTGTGACTGTTAAGATGTAGTGCATCAAATGGTTCAAATGGGTGTAGGCAAGAAGATCTCCTGACCGGTTCTAAAGCAAAGATGGCAGTCAGTGCATTGTTGCCTTGATAACTTTAGGGGTTGGTTATGCCAAGATGATGTAAAGTGCCAGAGAATCGGATGAGTGAGAGTGAGAACTGGAAGGAGAATCAGTCGGGCTTCAAACGAAGTCGGGGACCAATTCCATGGATGTGGCACAGGCACATCCCTCCAACCAACCAGGCTCTCACAGTGATGCCTAAGGCTGTTTCACACCCTTCAAGACACACAAAGCAAATCGCTTCTCATCTTAACCAGTACGCAGGGTTTGCACGTGATGACCGCTACATATAGCCACCGGTTTCCCCTATTGAGAGGCTTGTATCACAAAGAGCAACAGAAAGACAAGTCCAATACTTTGCTGCCTGCTATACCTATATACATTCCTCATGTACAACATGACGACAGATTCAGATCTATGCATCGTTCATTGTATCTCTTATGGCAACATTCATCATGCACTTCAAGGGGTATTCTTTTGCTCGCTCGACTTATCTTCATCAATCTCAGTGCTGCTTTGGTATGTCGTCCGGCGACGCAGACGACCAACGGCATCATGCTCCGCATCCCAGCGCGCCAGCTCTGCAACAGGAACTTTGACAAGATTATGCGCAACAGATCCATCGTTGAATTCCAACACGGTCTGTCGAAACTCATATCCTTTGTATTTAGGAAGCAACTTGATCCATATGTAGTAGTATACGCCACAAGCAACAAGCCTGAATTTTACGTCAATCAAATAAAACATATGGGCGAGGTGCAAGACTACTTACAGTCCAATGCCGACTACTATATATGTGGCATACCAGAAGCTGACGTCCCCACCATTTGCTCCCCCTGTTGGCGGGTACCAAGGGGCAGCAAGCAAGTAGAGGTTCGCCAACAGTGCAAAGCCAATCGCAATTGCCCATGATCGATACTCGGACCTAGGTAGATTGAGCTTGCGGCGGCGCCAACGGATCAATAGAAGGCCGATCACCAAGAGGAAATTAAAGATGCTCGAGGGGTAGATGGAAAGGTCGACAACTGTTCGATCATTTTCGTCAGTTGGAGAATCATGTGAATTGTTAGTGAGAGGCACAGACCGAAGTTGAAGGCATCTCCAGCGGGCGGGGCAAGAATCATGATAACAGTTATGGCCCACTGAACAAGATAAGGCCCCAATGGTGTTCCAAATGGCCTTGTAGAAGTCCAGAATCTAGGCCAGGGAAGTACACCTTGTCTATAGGCCCGAAGATTTAGCATTCTTCCTAGATGCATCCACAGGGCATGCCTAGTCCTCTAGTGGACTAGACTAGTAATCTCACCTTCCAGTCTCTCGAAGCATTCTGGAATAGCTAACCATAACGGCCATCAGATTGCCAAATGCGCTTATACAAATGAGTACATTCAGCGCGCGGGAGGCCCCATTCGTGCCAAAGATCTTCTGAAAGAAGACACCGGCTGCGATTTGCTTCGAATTCAAGATTTCTTCCCTTGAGGCAGCGGAGAAGTAGGCGACGTTCACAAGGATATAGAGTGATGTGACGAGAATCAGGGAGAATGGAGCGCTCCAACGAAGTGTTTTGATGGGATTCTGTACAAGTAATTAGATCTTGTTATCATCAAGTGTTCGAAAAACATTAACGAACTTTGATCTCATTAACCACACTGAAAGCGTTTGTATAGCCAGAGTAAGAAAAGATCAACTTGATCATGGCATTAGTAGCACCGTAAGCGCTTGCCGATGATGTCCCTTTCCAGGCATCATGCCAGTTGATCATAGGGTCCTCGACCCTTGTATGCCCACCGAGTACGACCAGTCCAGCGATTGAGATCCTGTGATGATATATGAGTTAGTAGAGTCTCCCATATTTGCATCGCGCACAACATACAATACCAAGGTTGCAATCTTGATGAACCCAAACCAGACAACGACTCTCAGGGACCATTTGGTATTTAAGCTCACAACTGCACATCTTATCAGTCAAATAGCCAGGTATGGTGTATAATCGCTGCACAAACTTAACGTTGCAACGGTATAAGCAGCCACGGCGACACCTTTTAACTGCCAGTTCGTGTATCCCGAACCTGCAATTCCGAAGATGTACTCGGCAAAGACGATGGCATTGCTACTCCCAAACGCGAAAACAACATGTTTCACTGCAAATGCTGTAGGGAAGAAGTATTCAGGTTTTGGAAATGCCTGTTCGAGATAAACGACTTCCGACCCCGAACGACTAGGAAAGTATGAAGCCAGCTCCAGATACACCGCAAGAGTGCTTTGGGCGAGCAGATATCCTATGAACCAGTATATCATGGAAAGGCCAACGGAACCAACACCCTTAAGGATAGTGGCCGCTTCGAAGAAATAAGCATAAGAAGTCTAGCAGGGGGGTTTGGAACCTACTCACGCGTTGAAAAGATACCAGTCCCGACCATTTGATTGATATTCAGGCATAGACTTGTCCAAAAGCTGACGGAGTATCCCAACGGCGAATCCGTCTCGACGGGTGCACCACTGGCATCTTGGTAGGTCACACTGGTGGAATTGATACCTTCTGCCGCTGTATATTTGACTTCACCATCTTGAATTGTACTCTCGTGAGTGGCGTTATGTTCTCGAACGGAGATGCCGGCATCCTTTTCTCCATCGTGCCAAAACGGTCGACCCATTAGGCAGGTTTACAGCTTTTGCTATTTGGCCTGCGGGGAAAAGAGAAATTATAGAACAAAATGGTAGGAAAATGTAGATTACAAAGGCCTCGAACATCCACGGACATGTCTACTCTGATTTAAGCTATATTTATACCTTGTCAAACTGAATGAGGAACTCTATCTCGGTTAGATGCTAGATAACTACCACCCCACGCAATGCTCAATTTGGCGTTGAATGGCGCTATCGGGAAGCATGATAGGCCTAGACGAGGATATCATTGTCGGATTTTTCAAGGCTTTATAATGGTTATTGGCTAGAGCTCTTAATGTCACCTCGTGCTCATGCTGAGAATGACGACACTCGTCCCCGCAATAGTATCATAAGCTTAAATCTCGACGGCCAAAACCTCCGGAATTCTGTTGGAGATTACTTTGTCCCGCAACGAAATTCGATTTCTCTCAAGTCGCAGACATATAATTTTATCTTTACATATAGTAAGTCCTGGAACATCCAGGCAGAGCTCGTATTTATGAAAGAAATGCGCAAGATTGAACAGTCGCTGCCGTGCAAGAGTGTAGTGGATGGTGTCACTTATCCCTGTAGTCATCTCATCAGGCCAACTGACAAGTCGTGTAGAATTTCCAGCTTCGTCCTAGTCCCCGGTCTCTTCGGCAATGTTTAGTTCGAATTGAACATACATTATCAAATCAAGCCTTTCAAATTCATAATCTTCATAAATAATCTAGAAGACATTCTTTTCTCCGTATGTTTGGGTCAAGTGTAGCATGGCACTCAAAGGGCAATGTGCTCGGACCTCGCGCCGAACATATCATTTTAGTAGATAATTATGTGATTTGAGTAAACCTACTTACCTCTTTCTGCTCCTATTGCGACAAATCCCTCGCCATGTTCCCCCTTTCCTACAGGACAGTTATAGAAGTCTCCTCTCGATGTGTAGTTCGTAACACTTTCCAGTTGTCTTTTTTCTATTTTTTCTTGGCTATAGATAAATAAAGTTCTCTCAGCTACGGTACGCTAACGGTCCAAGTTCTTGGAACTCACACACGAACTGTATTTCATGACCACCAACTGGACAAGAAACATATTACAGATGAGAACTCAATTGCTATATAACTATGATTAAAAAAGAGAAAGGAATGCTAGTATGAACGCTCTAAAAATACCCATGTCTAAACCAAAAAGCGAAAACCATTCTATGGTATCTCAAACAAAACAACCATTACCGATTCTCATTCGTCCTCATCCGTCCAGTCCGTAACTCTCCACGACCGAACATCATCTTCAATGACCAATTTAAGTGTCGTAAAAGTGATATTTTCGTACAAATCTCGCGCAGCACCGCGTGCCTTCTTATGCCAAGGCCCGGTACCTCCCAACCTAGCATCATTGCGACTACGCCAGAGACCTAGTATCATCATCAGCAACTGTCCTCACAATAGATTAGAAAGAAAAAAACGAATAAACTCACAAGTAGCCAAATTCCTTCTCTCCCCATCCTTCGTTCCAAACCAATACTTCAGCAAACCCCCACTAGCAACAGCCTCCTGATGCGAATAGGCATCCAAATCATGCAGCCTCTGGTTATCGATGTCCGCCTGCAGTCGGGACCGGAAAACAACGACATAAAAATACTGCGTCTCCCACCGATACCCATTCGTTTGAGCTAAGTTCCGTAGGAAATCAAACACGGCTTGCCAATTGAATGATTCCGTGTACGGCGCCGTGGCGTAGTCGTCACGGATGGGTTTGAATATGGTGAGGGCTTTGGCGAGCAATTGGTTGGGTGTATCGAGGGTTTTGAGATCCAAGAGGTGTTTGGGGTCGTTGTACGGTGATGTGATTAAGAGGTCACTTTGTGGTGCTGCTGTTTTGTGGGGATGACCGGATTGCAGCTGGAGCGATGCTGCGGCGTGGAATTTAAGGGCATCGAAGTCAGTGGTGATCAGGGTGTGGTCGTACAGACACGGGTGCTGGGATGTGGGTTTTGGGCTGTCTACACTGAAGACCGGCTTGCCTATTTCCACTGGAGCCATTGGGTCTTTTTATTTCTGTCTTTGTCTTTGGGGTCTTTTCTTTGGGTGAATTAGGGCTTGTAGTGAGATTTAGGAACGCAAATGGGGTATCAGTGAAGGCAGAGGATGCTGCGGAAGGACAGACGTTTGCTTGAAAACGGAGGAAAAGAAGAGACAAGTGGGAAAAGTTCTACATAATGACGAAACGTCGCCTATATATCTCACACGTCCCCCGGGGGGAAAAGGGCGGTATTGAGCCAACTCCCTTTCAAAGCACGCAATACGCTGACGAGACGGCCTGAGGCCCGTTCGGCAAAAGTCATCCACCGGCTCGCCATTGGGCCGTCCTTGCCGGGGGATTTTCAACTAAAGCAACTTTATGCTTAGCGCCCCCGTTTTGGCGTCTTTAGGGCAAAGAAGTCCCCGGGCTATTCAAGGGAAATATTGAAGAACAAGCACCAGGCATTGAGTCAACTAATTTATTCTTTATGGGTTTATAGTCGGTTTTACAGCACTGCAACTTGAATCTGACATTCCAGAACTATTCCGGAGATGTTCTAGCGGCGAAATCCTTGGGACTAGCACGCCATCTTCACAGAATTTTACGTCGGACCCGGAGTATTTCTTCCCCAGTTCCATGGTACCTGGCAACCGGCACGTGGCACTGCCAGGGTTATCCGAGAGTCTACCCGTGACAAACACAGCAATTAATATGTGGGAAATCTAAAGCAATAGCTCTGTTATATTTCATTCTCTTCGAGTTTCCCACTGTCTCGAGATTTATCATACATTGGTCGATGGTATCATGCGAATGCCGAAAGGATCCCCAATCTCAAAAACGCCTTTCTTAAGATGCTCAGGAAAGCAAAATCGGTAACGAAAACAAATAATAAATAGAAACCCCACTATCGCTTCAGTGGCAGTGGTGGAGGGCCCATCTTGCCCTCACCCGTATCGACCTTCTTCTGTGGAGGAATTGGTGGCACCTTGAACCCTCCATTATCCTTCTGGGAAGAGTTATTGTTGCTTTGGCTACCCCCAACCTGCGTAAAAGTACCCGACTTGAACCATCGGTCTTCCTCTGCCTTACGTTTGCGGCTCAACTCTGCTTGCACCTTAGGGTCAACGAGCTCAAGTCCTTGCACCGGCGTAAAGGCAATGGTACTAGCCGTACCGCTGCCGCCCAGTGAAGTACCAATGCCAGAAGAGCGAAGACCTTTCGCTTGTAGAACACTTGCCGTTCCGCCAACCCCAGAACTGAATCCACGGAGAGACGAAGCCGTGCCGCTGGCAGGAGTTGCGGTTCCCCAGCCTTTGTTCGACTTGCTGAGTTTCGCTCGAGTCCTATTGTCGATCTGAGTTGATCGAACCCGTCCATCATTCTGCTGGCCGAGCATTCCCAACCCAACCGTTCCTTCACCCGTGCCGTAACCCACTTCCGCTTCTTCCTTACCGAAGGCCATCCGGTTTTGGGCCTTGCGCATATCTGTCATAGCAACTGCCTCCTTAGCCTTTCTAGCCCTTTTACCACCTCGCTTGCGGGACGGCTTGTCATCGGGAGCGGGGAGGGCCTTCACTCCAGAATTCGGGGGAGGTTCAGTCAGCTTCTCGAGCCGCGTGAAGCATTGTTGTTTCAAATCTTCGCCTAGCGATCCATCGGGGCTGAAGTTGGATACGTCCGCACGGGTAGCAAGGACCATCTTAGCCGAGACAATACGGATTGCCTGGCGCTTCAGGTCATCCGGAATGTCCTGTATCAGTGGCGAATTGTAAAGAAAGCCCCGCGATCTAACACCAATATTTGTAGCAAACCCGAGCCCTTCGGTTCTCTTATTGCCTTGCGCACCAAGATTGCACGCCGGGATCTTAGCGAGTTCACGTAGACCTCCGGTCTGGTTAAGGAACTGAGCTGCTGTTTCGGGTCCGATCAAGGCTGCTAGATTGGGAGCGATCTGCGTAATACGAGACTGGATACTTTCTGTAAGAGCCTTCCGCTCTCGGTCCAACTTCAAAATCCTCTCGCAAGTATCGAGCACCACCTTTAGTTCCGACTCGGTCATTTCACGTCCTCGGGTGGTGGTACCCTCCACAGAAACAACCATCAATGAGGGGCCATTCAAGATAGACTTGAGCGGCTCGCCGACCATGTTGTCCGCCGAGGAGGAGATAGCTTTAATATCGTTGAGCGGGCCATTTTTCAAGATAGCGACTGTCTTGGCGTAGTCGATCGGACTCGTAACAAGGGTTTCTAATTCTGGAAATCTGACCGAATAGTGGTCGCGCAAAACTTTGTGTAGGCGAGTAAGCTCGTCACCGGTGGAGAGGGCGACCTCGAACTCATTGGTGACCTCAGAGCCAGCTTTTTGTAAGTGCTGCTGCTCTTCGTCCGCATCTTCCTCAACTCCCTCACCCGCCTGGAAGTCCTCATCGTCCGATTCGAAATCCCTCAAAAGCTCCTCAGCAGTAGACATGTTGAGTTGAGCTGCGACGCGACCAAGAGGTGAACTATGAATTAGGTGATATGGTGGTTGAATGAACTTTTGGACGCCGCCGCCGAGTTGCTTTTCCATTTAGGTCATTTGCTTAGTCATCCACTTCCAGAGCTGCTGATCTCGGGTGGCGCTACAAACCTAACATGCAGCTTTTCCGACTCTTGGCTGGCAGAACCAAAAGTTGATCCAGCAGCAACGACATCTGACTTGGAGCTGTCCCGATACCGCACGGTCGGTTAGAAGCTGATTACTACGCTTTTGGCTTCCGGAGGAGGTACGCTGTCCTCCTAAGGTTAACTTGGGTAGTGTGACCTACCCAACGCCCCCGACTCGAATACGCGTCGCCGACAAATTATCTGCTTGGTATAATCTCACCTCACCATGGAGTCGTCTCGCGGCCCTCCCAGGGTCAAGAACAAGGCCGCTGCGCCGATTCAGATCTCAGCGGAGCAATTGCTCCGAGAGGCTGTCGACCGGCAGGAGCCCGCGTTGCAGGCCCCGACGCAGCGATTTGCCGATTTGGAGGAATTGCACGAGTATCAAGGTCGCAAGAGAAAGGAGTTCGAGGACTATGTTCGCCGAAACAGGATTAACATGAACAATTGGATGCGCTATGCAGCATGGGAACTTGAACAAAAGGAATTCCGCCGGGCGCGTTCTATCTTCGAGCGAGCGTTGGACGTCCTCCCAACCTCAGTACCGCTGTGGATCCGATACATCGAGGCGGAGATGCGAAATAGGAACATCAACCATGCGAGGAACTTGCTTGACCGTGCAGTAACGATCTTGCCCCGTGTCGATAAGCTCTGGTATAAATATGTTTATATGGAAGAGACTTTGGGGAACATCCCTGGTACCCGGCAGGTCTTCGAGCGGTGGATGTCATGGGAGCCGGATGAGGGAGCCTGGAGTGCGTATATTAAGCTCGAGAAGCGGTACAATGAATTCGAGAGGGCGCGCAATATCTTCCAACGATTCACGATTGTTCATCCTGAACCGAGGAACTGGATCAAGTGGGCTCGATTCGAGGAGGAGTACGGGACTAGTGATTTAGTGAGAGAAGTCTACGGTGCAGGGATTGAGGCGCTGGGTGAAGACTTCATGGATGAAAAGCTTTTTATGGCCTATGCCAAGTTCGAGGCGAAGATGAAGGAGTATGAGCGTGCACGTGCTATCTACAAATATGCTCTAGACCGACTTCCTCGCTCTAAATCTGTTACATTGCACAAAGCTTACACTACATTCGAGAAACAGTTTGGTGATAGGGAGGGTGTTGAGGACGTCATTCTTTCCAAACGCCGAGTCCAATACGAGGAGCAGCTCAAGGAGAACCCTCGGAACTACGACATTTGGTTTGACTTTACTCGCCTCGAAGAGACCTCCGGTGACCCTGAGCGGGTACGTGACACATACGAACGAGCCATTGCACAGATTCCTCCGTCACAGGAGAAGCGGCACTGGAGACGTTATATCTATCTCTGGATATTCTATGCCATCTGGGAAGAAATGGAAGCCAAAGACGTGGAACGTGCTCGCCAGATCTATAATGAATGTCTGAAACTCATTCCACACAAGAAGTTCACATTTGCCAAGATATGGCTTATGAAAGCCCAGTTTGAAATCCGCCAGATGGAGCTCCAAACCGCCCGCAAGACATTAGGTCAGGCGATTGGCATTTGCCCCAAGGATAAGCTCTTCAGAGGCTACATCGATCTCGAGCGCCAGCTTTTCGAGTTTGTACGGTGCCGGACACTGTTCGAGAAGCAAATCGAGTGGAACCCCTCCAACAGCCAGTCCTGGATCCAGTTTGCTGAGCTGGAGCGGGGTCTAGATGATAGCGATCGTGCGCGGGCCATCTTTGAGCTAGGAATTGAACAACCGACTCTGGATATGCCAGAGCTGGTGTGGAAGTCATACATCGATTTCGAGGAATACGAAGGCGAGTATGACAGAGTCCGGCAGCTCTACGAGCGTCTTCTGGAGAAGACCGACCACGTCAAGGTGTGGATCAACTATGCCCGGTTCGAGATCAACATTCCGGAAGATGAGGAAGAGGAGGAGGAGGAGGAACGGCCAGTCAGCGACGAGGCCAAACGGCGCGCTCGGGCGGTCTTCAACCGTGCACACAAGGTGTTCAAAGAAAAGGAGCTCAAGGAAGAGGTAAGTTGTGCCTCGATATATTAAATGAGGAAGGTCTTGAATCTAACATTATGCAGCGTGTGGAACTCCTCAATGCCTGGCGGTCATTCGAACATACACATGGGTCCCCCGAGGACATCGACAAGATCGAGAAACAGATGCCGCGTCGCGTCAAGAAGCGCCGCAAGTTGGACGACGACCGGTACGAGGAATACATGGACTACGTGTTCCCGGCCGACGATCAATCAGCGGCAAACTTGTCCAAGCTGCTGCAGAGAGCACATGCCTGGAAGTCTGGTCAGGCTCCATAGGCTGGATATTCACCAGAAAGGTAAAGAGTTGTGTGTTTTATATGTGGGCTATGGGCACATACCATGGGATAAGTTGTCGATGCAGTTTATATCAAAATCAAGTAGAATTAATCCCAAGATAATGATCATGAATCATATTCCATCTATAAGTCAAAACCGTACTACCGAGGGGATCAGTGTGATTTAGTATAAAAACTATTCGGATGACCATGGCGGGGGCAACGATTTATAATTAATATGTACTATCATTCTTTAGGTCATTTCACTTTATAGTATTTGTTTGGCATGTTTTTAATGAATCTACACAATACTATTAGTACTTCAAAAATTCTTTTCCAGCGTCTAATCTTATATAGTGTGGCATAGTTTTTTTTAAAGTACAAAAACCTTACCTTGCCATATAGCCTTCGAATCCTAGGCGACTACTCATATTTTCAATTGGCCTTTCTGATTCTAAGCAGCCTTCCATGGAGTATGGTACAGAGCTCTACGTATGCACAAACCCCTACGTCAAGCAAATTTAATGCACAGGACCTTATCACCTCCGTTTGGCGAACATAGTGCCTCTCCGAGGGATCGACGCTTCTATTTGGGATATGTCGGAAACTCTCTATTAGATATCAGTGAGGTTATTAGGCATGACTCGCGGTGGAAAACGACAGCACACCAGTGCACACCGCTTTTCGAAGGGCTTGCCATCGGTTAGGAGCGCTCGCATATGTCTAATGAATATGGGGCCTGTGAGCTATTGGCAATTGTGATTGGATCAACAATGACTGTTTCCATATATGGTCGGATATTCAGCTGAAGGCTAACGTGCACGGACAGCCAACTCATCTTCAAGGCTGAAGTTGTGGCGGTGCAACTCTCACGTTTACCCACTTCAAAAACTCATGAGTAGGTGGCGATCACTGCGCGTCTTGTTATGTATGTAAGCTGTGGACTTGTTACGCATAAGTAGCCTACATTTAAAAGGCGTTGGGCAATGTCCTGATGTAATGCATGTTGACAGCTAAACCTAACTGAACTTCACTCCCTCACCCTCCCATTTCCCCTACCACCACCACTACCTCCTCCTCCTCCTTCAGCCTCATATCATGCAATCAGCCCGACTTGAGCTGGTTCCCTTAAACAAAGAGCATTTACCCGGTTACTTTTCAGTCCGATCCGATCGGGAAGTTGAGATATGGAACTCCCCTCAGCCAATCACCTCAGTTGAAGATGCAGAACGAGAGATGTTAAAAGATTTGGAGCAACCCAACCGCGAAACATGGGCAATTCTCCTCCGCGATGACCTTAATCCCAAGATAATTGATGAGTGGCAATGTCCAGAAGCCAAAGATGAGAGCAATGTTCTCGTGCCTGGAGGGTTCGTCGGCTATATAGGTGTCTATGATCTTCATCACGTGGCCCAAGTCTTCTATACTATTCATCGATCTGCATGGGGGCTCGGAATTGCAACTGAAGCACTACTGGCGTTCACGGAGTTGTTCTGGATACTCCACCCCGACCACTATCGATTGCTAGGACGTTGTGACACTGAGAATCCGGCTTCGGGGAGGGTAATGGAGAAGTCTGGGTTTGAATACTATGATTTTATATGTGCAGATGAGTTTCAGCCGTGGATGGTACCTCATACTCGAGATAGTCTGCGTTTTGTACTGGCTAAACCGGGCTATACCTTCGACTAGATCGCTATTGCCGTAAGGCTGTGGTGGGAGTTAGGTTCGAGCGCATATTCATTGAGTGCAAATTGATCTCCGGAACCAATGATTGATTTCCATATGGAAGTGGAATTCTCTGGATGGGTGTCGGTATCCGCTTCTATGGAAACCTCTGGAGTCACTCTTTGGCTATGATCTACTTACGTGAGCTGGATACTATCTTTTGTATTCATGCATTATTATGCTACATGGGGTCAATGTTTTTCATATTTAGTGATTCCTAGTAAGCCATGGTCAAGAAAATAACATATTATCTGTGCATACAGTGGACTTTGGCGATCTCTCCCTGTCCCAGTGAAAAAGGTTTTCTTGAGAGTTAGCCCAGCCAACTAGCACTTGAGATGGATCGCCATGCCCCTTGTAGGGTTCAACGGAGGGACGAGTATGTACACCGATTACCCCGCGCCACGGAGCGCAGCAGCGGACAGTGCACATTGTTCAAGCTTGAATAATCGCAAAAGGCTCTGTATATACACATAAAACCACACCGATATCGGTTATCTCTTAGTTGATGAATTTGATCTTGACAGCAAGTTTTTGCCCATCTTGCTCCTCCACTTCGAACTGGACCTTGGTAGTCGGATGTGGAAAAGAGGGTTCTTCGTCCTAAAGTAATGAGTATTATGTTTCAGCACGCTATCATTCGAGTATGTCCTTGCTCGATTATTATGCACGTACTTCGCCCACGACAATATCAGTGCCATAGAAAGGAAATTTTTGTTCCGAGCTGTCCTGGCTGATCACTCCATACCCTTGCGGATCAAAGAACACCACTACGCCTTGTGGCATGGCTGTAGATTGTAGGGTAATTGGCAGATATTCTTGGAAGATCTTGGAGGGAATCAAATGCCCGCACCGGGATCAGCGGGTATCGTAGAAAAAGGAGATAGATACTGGTTGACAAGCGCTTCCCAGAAATCTGGGAAGACGACTCCCTTATATGCTAGCCAGCGTGATTAAGGTTCAGGTCTAAAGACTCTTTGTGTCTGTACCATGAAAATGCGTCATCAACGGGTCTGAGCAGATGCGTCGCGATCGGCGGATTAGATGGACGGGGAGGAGGGACTTCGCTTATGGCTCAGCTGAAGCATACTCTGTGGCTACCAGTATAGCCCCGGGGGAGGTTCCATACCAGGCGCAGAGAGACGCGCGGAATGTAGAATCATCTATGCCTGTGTATTTGCTTTCTTTTATTTTCTTTTTCTTTTAGCTCCATTAGATATTATCCCCCAGTGTACTTGAGTTCTCATACTATTAAGTGTAGGGTTTCATCTTCAGTAGAAAATCCCGCATTCGTGTGATGATGATGGAATTGCTCCAAGGTGGGGCCGTGGAGATTAGACTAGCCTAGCCAGCTGAACACTATTTAAGTCCAAGCGAACCTTAGACGTTTGTGTTAGTTCAAAAGTGGTTTATTTTGGCATAATTATACAACTACGTCGCAAACGTCGTCTATCGTTCCTTCCACCGGTTGCGTTGTCCGAGACCATGATATTTAGCCCTCTTGACAGTTTTCCTAAAGAAGAGATAAGAGCTAGAGAGTGTGAACAGGAATGTTAGGGATGTTTCTGCTGTGGTAGCGTCCATGGTGCAGTATATCAGGGATAGTGGGGGTTGGTGGAGTGTTAAGGGAGAGAATCAGAAGACAAGTGGGCTGTGTAGGCAAGGGTTTATTGTTCGTGCTTATATGGTCATCCATGTGTAGGAGGATAAGATAGTGGATCAGTCTATATTGTCGGTCATTGTGCCTGTGGGATTGTGTTAGATGGTAGGGATATTGCCCATTCGTGGCCGAGCCTGTTGGTCTGTATCTCGTTGGAGTTTCTTATGTTGTGGATTTGCCTCAACGAAGAGATGAGAACATGGTCAACCTGAAGTGGCGTGTATGTAAAGGAAGCTTCCATGGGCTAGTAGAGAATGCTTACGAACCGTATAGATTTGGACTCGGTGGACTGTATCACTTGAGGAATGCTTTTCATCTATCAAAACACACTACAGTCCAGGGATACCGTGAAGCCCTTATCCTAAAGGAAGTGGGTTGTCTTCCAGGTTCTACATTCACGACCACGTAGTAGAGGCATTCTCTTATACCCGCCATACTTGTCTTAGCCGCCGCATGAGTATCTTGCAGTATGGAAATCAAATCGTCGAGAACACTCTGCTCGAGAAGATGATCTGCTCGTTTATTAAATCTATACAACTTCTGTACATCTAACGGGAATAAGAAGCATATCGCCTAGGAACATTCGCAAATGGTTCTCCGTTCCACTTGACGGCTGCCAAAACCACTGCCTTAAGCTGTGCTCCTTGGAACTCGACTATCTCGACCTACTCTAGGAAGTTTGTGACCTGACCGAGGACTTGCTCATCCGATGGTAGCCTTGCCATCAAAGGTTTGTTGGTATCTAAGGCTGTCTCAAAGACCTTTGCCTCTAACGAGATATCTACATGAGTATAAGATTTGCAGTGATGGGCTTCCTAGGTAATCCTAAGATTTTTTTTATCGAAACCCGATTATGCAGAGGATTCTCGGTGTTATCAATTAATTGACGTTAGTATTGCTGCTTGGAGGCTTAACCACCGCTACTTTGGTATCCTCTTTGGATACCGTTGGAGTAGTCTTGCCTTCGCATCTATCTTCGGGTAGTTGAGACCATGGGCGTGGAGAAGATTAAGGTATTCTTCCCAGTGAGGAGACATATTGACGAGAGAATGGCCTTTAGCTAGAGTTTTATCGCCATCCTGGGATACTGTGTCTGCCTCAAGGTCTGTGACGGATTTACCGTGGTTGCGGAAGGCTCAGCTCCGACAGAAGACGGTAAACTCTGAGTGGACTTAAGTCAATTCCTGAGGCTTTCCCATTTCCGTAGCCCTTCGCAAATGACATCGGCTGCGAAATGTGTTGATGCGGTGATCATCAAATGGAGACCCAGAACTCGATAAAATGCCGCCAGTCCAATGGACTCATGCCTGTCTCTTGAAGATGACTAGGCAAGGAGTACATGAAGAGACGGTCCTCGATTGAACTAGGCATGGTCCTATACAGCAACTTCGTGCCCCCTAGCAAGGAATATCGCAAGGGCTTCCCCATTTGTAGTCTCTCAAACATTGCATCCGAGTATGCTTCCGTGTCTCTAGACCCCACCAGGGCAGCCTATTCGGAGATTGTATAGGCCAACATTCGTATACATCCATCTCTTCATTCAGGGTAGACTCGGTCCCGGAGGTATCCGGCGCTTCATGCAATAGTTGGTTGTTTCTCTGCATTGTATCCCGACATAGCAACTTACGACTGGGGGGATGGAATGCCAATCAAGTCTGGCGATCTGGCAGTTAAGCTAGTATGAGTCTTAGATATAGCTGTGAGTTGTGGTCTGGGGCATTCCGGTCAAACGTTTGTCGTCACCGGTTCTCGTTCATGAGGTCACTGCCGACGATTGATCACTGTGTCAACCTACCAACAACCCATGTTTTTGCACAATCGCGTTTGCAATTCCCGTGGCCCATACTAAACGAATCTTAATAGACTTGGAGAATGGCCGATTTTTCACAATGGTTAGTATATCCAGAACAATTTCAAAGCCCGCCTCCTCTTCCTTCTTCTTTTTCACCTCCACATCTTCCCCCTCTCCAGAATGGGAGCCAGTGTCAAAGCCTAAAGCACACTGCTCTGCACCACGCAAAGCAACAACCCTATGAAGCATCCATTCCATCCAATAGTAAGTCAAAAGAAGGTCAAGGGTAACTTTATGGGATCTCCAGTTTTGAAAACAAGTGTATCGCCGGAGTGTAAAAACTTGCAAGTTATAGCACGCCCTTGTTGTTCGTGAAAGACTGCTGATGCTCGCAGTCCCCCTGTGCTACCTCTTTCTGAAAATTGGCTTCTTGTGTCTGAAACTTTTCCGTAATGAGTTATCACTGTGTTGCTCCAAACGTTGCGGTATGCGACTATCGTGACCCAGGATGGTGCGGTTAGACTCAGGGATGATCGCCTGATGTAGGCGAAATACAACCTCAGGGTCTGCTCCCCGCAGCCATTGGTACATACCTTTTGTGGCCCAGGATTCGGGCGTGAAAATTCCTTGAAAGGAGTATTTTAAACATAGTTACACAGGTAACTGATGACTCTGTGGGTATACCGTATGCGTGATCCTCCATTGCGATGTGTATATATTTCGTCCGCCCTCCTGAGCAATATGGGGGCGATTCCGCTCCGAGTATCTGGACTCCTTAGAACATGGTTGTAGATATCTGACCTAAGTACATATATTGCGCGGATCCAGAATGTGCAAGTGCTTCAACGCCTCCACATCTACACCATCCAATTCAAAACATCCCATATTTGCTGGGATTGACCGGAGTCCCACCGGACGTGATCGTATTTGCAACGCGTCGATATAAGGCAATCGTACCCCGAAATAGGGGCAGTGCTGGTCACACGGCACACGTCCTCATTTAAAATATCCCAGTCTGCAACCCGGATTAACAATAGAGAATGGGGGGCTCTTCTCCAACGGGCCCGTAAGTTTCCTCGTACTTCGTACGAATGTGCTTAAGGGTCGTGTTGAGGTGTTCACGAAAACCGGGACACCAACCAGGTGAAGAGATATGCGTAACGAAAAGGACAATGTTGTTCTCCATTTTCTTTAGAGAAATACCAAAATTTTCACTTAGGAAGAGACATGATCTAGCAAAAGGCATCAATAGTGTGAATGCTTCCTAGCTATCGATGTACTTTCAAACGAGGTTGAGGAATGATATGCTGGGAAGTGCTGGCAATTCTTGAGCCCTAGGCCGCTCATCGGCACGGCTAACAGAGCCCGTAATGGTCTCAAGTAACAACCACGTCATAGAACCAGCCATGCAGTCGGTTCATACGAGACTGACACATTCGATTTCGGCTTAATTAGTAATTGCGCCCGGACTCATCTGAAGACATTATGGAACGTAGGGTCGAATAGTAGTCAACGCAAGGTCATGGGTAGCTTCTTGATCCAGTCATAATTTTGAGTTCTTAGTCGCAGAATAAGAATCTCCATAATAATCCGGATTATGCCATCGAGTTGTTTTTGTGGACGTCGAAGGTGGTCTGTGGGTATGAGCTACCAGTATAAGGCATGGGAGGTATATATGAGTAACTTCGATGGGTTCATCTTTGCCGGTGACTATACAACATTCGTCCCTTTGAATGCACTGGATATGGTCAGCTAACCGTACTTCTAGGTATACCGTGATAGCCAGCAAAAGATAGATGCTGAACTTACCATGTCCCTGTTTGGTAATGTCTACCGTCATGCGGCGCGAACTTATTCTCAATCCATGCCTTGAAGACTTGTGGCTTCGGTGTTGGGGTAGAAAGGTCAATGTCCGTTGGTGTAAGTTGGGCCGAGGAAGGCATCATTTCTAGACCTTTGCGGGCTTTCAATAGCTGGTTTAGTATCGAAGAGTTCTGCTTGGACCCTACTAGGTAGCCCTCTTTAGGTATAAGTTTAGGTATTTTGACTCCGTTGGTAAGGTAAGGAGGAAGGGGAGGTGGACTTGTTGGAGTTTTGGCATCATTAGGGCTAAATATATACTCGTTCATTGGATTGAATATACTACGTGGGAGAGAATATCTATGTAGTTTCACTGTGTTCTATTGTAATTTACTGATATTTTCACCAAGAGTTATATGAATAAATAGATCCCGTTACCGATATCTATTCCTTGCTCTCTCTCATTATGCCGTGATGAATCCTAACCCAAATTCACCACGGCATAGACTCCGAAGCTGGAAATTAGTATATAAATCAAACTGAAAAAAAGACACCGCACTAGACCGATATGTTCTGGTTTAATTCACGTAAGCGAAAGTATAAAAAGAATTAGATTGATAGCAACATACAACGCTTTAACCATTCAATTGACAACGTTACTAAGGTATGTAGTACATCAAGTGGAAAGCCTGAGGTAACAACCACCTGATGCCGGTGGGTCAATGTCCAGTTCGTCAGAGACGATTCGGTAGCCGAGGGACAAGATCCACGCGGTGGAGATGCGCCAAGCAGGGGTACCAGCCAATCATGCCCGGCAGGGGAGACTGGACGGGAAGTATGCGACTAAGTTCGAAGCGGTACTTGTATGTTTAGTGTACTCCGTCTGTTCGTACAGTACCATTGGTACCATACCGTCTAAAATGTGGGAGGTTTATTTATGGAACAATTCCGGGTGGAGGGTGTTTCATTGGGCGGGATACCGGGATACCCTCCCCAGCGAGAGAGAAAGAGAGAATTATCGGGCGAAAAAGCCTAGCTGGGATGAAAGGGTCCCATTATAGTTTTCACTGGGTTTTCATGTGTGACAACCTTGAATAGCGACACGGGGGAGGAAATTGGCCAATGTGACATCTGACCTGTCCGACGCGGGGGGAAAGAGGAGAAAAAGAGTACCTGCATTACTAGTACTTACTCTACTTAATACTACTACTACAAATACGCCGAGGCCCGTGCTGGCCCTGTTCGTGACGAATGAACCAATCAAGACCGTCACCTGCCCATCGCTGCCCTTAAGAATTTTCACGCAGATTCTCCGTGCCTCACTGGCTCTGCTCATGGTGATTAATATAATACCACCTCGACCAGGATGCCAATGGGGCCAATGCGATGAATTTTAATCAATCGAGGACACGATGGAAAAGTATTATTGGATTGAATTTTTCTGGTTAGCCACCGTTAATCCTG